TGCCGTGCACCACCAGGCCGCGGATCAAATGTAACTTCCAGGCATCTTTAAATTACGTAATTTTACGTTCACCGCATCTGAAGTTAGGTTTCAGATAGCATAGTTCTGTCCCAAAATTTATCGTCCTTCGACAAGTGGCCGTTCGACCAATCACCAAGGGCTGGTTTGACTCACGGCCTAGATACGGACGGCATGAAGTGTTGAAGGCTACGTTCCGGAAGGCAGGAATCATGATGGCAGATGGTCCATTACATATTTACATTCAGGGCAGTTGTGGTCTTCGGCAGGCGACCCGTATAAAATTAGTTGAAATTTTGGCGGATGATTCTGCGGCCTGGGCCACACAAGTCACCATCACAAATGACACCATTCCCAGGCTCCCTGCGCCTGCCGCACGGCGCACGGCCCACGGCGTTGCTCGGGAATGGAAGCTGGTTAGGTATCCTTATTCCTGCATTCAAACTGGAATATTGGTAGAAACTTTTGCAAAATTTCTGGTAAAATCAATTATTTACGGGTGATTCTTGAAAATTGCAGGGAGAGTTTTTATTTCAAAGGAAATAAATTAGGCTACCTCAGGCTCAGAGGCTCAGCCTACCTGTAGCTCTAGCCTGTAAGGCTGTCGGGGCCACAGTCGGGGCTAGCCGGCAGCCGCTAATAAAGCAGGTGAAATTGACTGTAAGTGTAACTGCAAACTGGGTAAGCATTATGATTTAGAATGATTAAGCAGTGCAATGGTGCATAAACTCAACGATAAGCATAACTGCTGAATGCTGATTGCTGAACTGCACAAGTTTCCCCCATCATAAGAAATAACAGTTGCAATATAAAATTGACAAATTTGACATACAGTACTTTATTGCTGTCATGCTGTGTATTAATTGAAATGAATGGACAAATAAGCATGAAAAAATTTTTTATGTTGTTTAGTATTTAGGCTATCATCCTAATTTGGGACATTGGGTTTGGGCCTATCTAGTTAATGAAGAAATAGTCAAAGACCACAGAAACCAACCAAGTCTTTCTAAGGTCTTGCAGATGCAGGCTTGCAGCTCTAAACATGGCCTGATTTGGATTTTGGCCTTGAACCTTGACCATGACAGCACGACCAGTTGACCTGAGACAGTCCTGAGTCACCTGACCAATGGCAAAAGGCAAATGATCATTGATATTTGACCATAGTCCATATTCCATTATAATCACTGGGCATAATGACTGGGTGAGGGTAAGTGGGTAACTCCACACATTTACAAAAATTTAGTTTGTCAGGGAAGTGAAATTTCCACTTGATTATTTATAATTCTTGCTGAAAAGGTTTGTTTTAATTTTTGTAATTATTCTTGATTTAGATCAGCTATTCCCAAACTTTTTCAGTCTGGCACTCGGGTACCGCACCCGGACGGGGCGGCACCCCCTCTGAGGACTGAGGCTTTGAGTTTGGCTCCCAAATGAATTTCTAGTGCTCCCCATGGCCCATGCCCAATGGGCACACAAACACATATAAAAACTAAAAAACATGCACCTCTTTCTTGAAATTTAGTACACTGCAAATTTAAAGGATATAGGGTAAACACAAATGTGTATTTCACAAATAGAGCTGCATTTAGTGAGACTGTGAGCCAATATGTCTCTCAGTGGTTTCAGCACTAGAACAGAAAATTTACAGCACTAGAACAGAACTGGGGCAAATTTACAGCCATCCATACTCGTGGCTGGTCACGATCAATCTCCAAATTCAATAATCAAGTAATATCTCCCACTCTCAGACTCGCAAAGTAATGAACGCAGCTCAATGAAACTTGGAATATGTATTCACCAATCACTAGAACCTAAAGGCTAAGGCTAATAGTGATGTTAACCACGTGAAAATTGTTTAAGTTTCACCTTCATTTGTGAGTTATATTGCAATATAGGCCAAAATTTGCAGCAATCAAAGAATTTCTTCCAAACTACTGAACAGATTTGAATGAAATTTTGAATATACATTCCTAACTACCAAATGGTGATTTTTTAGCTTCTAAAAAATTTTTTATTTTACATTCGTTTGCAATTGTTTTTTTTTTATTTCACCGTCATTCTTGATTTCACACATCCTTTAAATTTAAAGCGTCTCACATTGACTTTCAGGAAAATAAACACACTTTTTTTTGGTCTCTGTATAGAACAGATAACAGATCTCTGTAACAGGTCTCTGTATTAACAGGTCTCTGTAATAACAGATAATCTCAAGTTACACAAATACAAGTACATAGAAAAAGGTTATAATCATTATAAATCATTTCAGCTATTGAAGAGAGTAATTACTATGCGATTACAGTGGCTATACTTAGGTACTTACTCTAATAAGAGGTTCCGGTGCAATGAATCAAACTACTAAAAGTTGGAATGAAGTTAACTAGGTACTGTTGTATTCATGAAAGTTACGTTCATATATAAACAAAATCTTATTTTTACAATTTAAATCTAATTCTAATTTCTAAGCATTTTATTACATTAATTCAAAATCCTGAACAAGACTGCTACACCTTATATTTGGCCTGTATTGCCAGGTAATTTGTCACTTAAATTCATGGCGATCAAAAAATTTCTTCTAAACTACAGTACAGATTTCAACAAAACTTTGTATGTAAATACCTAACCTCCTAACAGTGATGTTTAGCTTGTGACAGTTTTTCTATTTTGCTTTTGTTTGCAAGTTTAACCATGAGCTGGCCAGTTTAACCAGGAGCTGTTTACATATAGCCGTATAACTTGCAAACCAAGGCAAAATCAAAAAATTGTAACGAGCCAATCATCGTCGTTGCTGAGGTGTCAGGTTAGGTATTTAAATACTAAGTTATGTTCACAATCTAAACATTACCGTTAGGTCCTGGTGAATACGTGTACCAAGTTTCATTGAGATAAGTTCATTAGTTTGAGAGATATTCTTTGATCATTGAATTTGGAAATTGGCTGTGAGACCGGCCGCAAGTCTGGCCATTGGGCCATTAATTTGTCCGAGATGTTAACCTAGGTGAGGTTAAAAAACGGATCTGGGTAAGAAAAAAACATTGCTGGGAGTTGTGTGCTGCACGTGTTGTGTACAAATCGTCAAACTAACGTTCAAACTTCTGACTTTGACTTTGGACTGCCATCCCCCTACCACCCTTTTCTTCCTTACTGCCCCCCAAAATCTTTCCACTGCCCCTAGGGGGGTGATATCACCCACTTTGGGAACCACTTATTTAGATGATTATGCAGAACAACTTTATTTTTTTCAAGGTGGTCAGTCTGTTATTGTCTGCTCAGTGGTCAGTGTGCTTGAAAACGATTGTGGCAGGCCAGAACATTTTGTGGGGTGAGATAATACACTTGTAACTTGTAAGTCATATGCAATGATGCAAGTAGTTGAACTTTAACTCATTTGTTAGATAGGAAGCTTAATTGGAAAAAGAGAAAAAAACAGTTGTATATAAAATTATTAAAAGTAGTTGCGTTCAATTCAACTGTGAGCAAAATCAATTTTCAACTGTGAGTCAATTTATGATGCATTTCATGATTCAATAATCTGAACTCTGAAAAGCTTGCATTCAAGTATTAGCCTATTAGGATGTTAGGAACTGTAAAAAATGAGAACTTATAGGGAAGAAGGAAAAATATGTTTGTTAAATATTGCCATGAAATTATAAGATAAAATTAAAATGTAAAAAATTGGATATAATATATATTATATTATATAATTTAATTCATTGTTGGCAAAACAAAAAGTAATCCTGGTTATGATTTTGGAGAAGTACAATATTGCTCATTGCTCAACAGTGAAGAAATTTACTGCTTAAAGAAATTACTACATTTTTAGGCCAATCACTGGGAATATGCCGGTATAGCTCTCTCTTTCTAGCTCTCTAAGTTTTGAAATAGTTATTTTTTTATTGTGAAATGATAACATTGTGCAAATTAATCATGCAAAACTATGAACTCACACCTTTGAGAAGACATGATTTTTTATGTATGAAGCTCATTCCTTTGATTGGATGCATGTATTGCCTTTCATATATTCAGGCTGTGCTACTACCTGCCATTGGGTTTATATACCTATATAGGTATATGTATATATAAATTTCACTAGTCAAAAGTTATTCAATGAATAAATTTCAGAAGTTTGGCATGGCCAGAGTGCAGAAAGTGGGTGAATTTTACTGTGAATATTGAAAGATATTTGGCAATGCATCAGCAGCAAAATTTATGCCTTCTGAAGATCTTGCTGACACATTTGGATTTAAATCATTGCATTTTATAAATTACTTCAAAAATTACTGCAAATCTGAAAGACTGCAAGCGCATGCAGTAAAATTTCCGGGATGCCGGATGGATCGAGATGCAGTGAAGCTTGTCCAGAAATTAGTTAGGTATGATGTGTGTGGAGAGTAAGGGATATACTATAAAAGTTGCTTGCATCACTTTCTTATGAAAAATTACCTGGCAACGGTTCTTGAAAATGACTGGCGACGCTTTGGGCTAAAAATCCATATCTTGGCAATGCTGCTTGCACCTTTACACCCTGGTGGCATGGATGCAATGTGGTGTAATGTATTCACAAGAAAATTGGTCATCAGATGGTTATATTAGAGCAGTTTCTATTATTGCAGTCAACACATCATACAAGTTCAAAAAACATAAATCTAGATGCATTATATGGATATTAGTTATATTATATGGATATAATTTGCTGATTTGGGCTCATGGCACAGATTGGTAAATGTGGTAGGTAGATGTACAAAATTGATCTTGGTGGACACAGCACATGTTTTCAGAAAGCCTCCACCTCTGCAACAGAGATCATTGTCAAATTTAAAAGTTGATTTCTCATTAATCAAGTGCCAAATATTATAAATTTGACTAAGCCTTCTTGGCATTAAAGAGGCACTTGAGCCATTTGAATTAGTATATAAAATTGCTCCAATGAGATCTAAAATTTTTTAACCAGACAAAAAAATTAATGTATTTATTTATTTTAGTGGAGGGTTGAGTCAGGATTTTATCCACATGAAAGTATAATTTTGTTTGTATCACATGTTACTCTATTGCTAATGATCATTATTGCATTGAAAATTGCTACCACAAGCTTTATATCAGCTTCCTATTTTGATATCTTGGTGGATAGCACTTGTGCAAGGTAATTTTTTTATGAAGTTCATTTAAATTTTGAAGGTTGTGAAAGAAATGTTTTCAATATTAGATCAATTCTGATTTTTGCAGAGAGGCTGATTTGTCTGAATGAATCCTATTTGATCATGAAAATTAATGCAAGCAGCGTGATCGTCGGAGAGAAAGTTATATTCGTGCCGTATCTCAGGCATCATGTAGAGAAATACCATTTTTGGATGACAAGCATCGAGCTGCAAGAGCTCACTGCATCACAGCCACTTTCGTTGGATGAAGAATACAGTATGCAAGAGTCCTGGCAAAATGACGACGACAAATGCACTTTTATTGTTCTAGACCGTATCAAGTACGAAGAATCTGGAGATGAGGTAGCGTCAATGATAGGAGATACAAACGCTTATATAACTGATCCCGAAACGCCAAACATTGCTGAAATAGAAGTTATGCTAGCTGATAAGAACGCCCGTGGATGTGGCAGAGGAAGAGAAACCACGGTGATGATGCTGAGGTACTGTGCTCAAAACCTCAACATTGAAAAGTTTGTGGCAAAGATAGGGTATCAGAATGCACCGAGCATAAACTTGTTCACCAGTTTGGGGTTCAAAGAGATCACGAGATCGGAAGTGTTTCAAGAGATTACAATGGAAAAAAAATTGACTAAGAGCTGGCTGAATTGGATGATGAGTGAGACCCCAAGATACACAATTCAAAAGTACGTTCCGAACGGGAAATATCAATATTAGATATCTACTTCGAAGCAAAAGACTCGTCCTAACCAATTGAATGGGTAAGCCCGTAAGACTACCTTGAAACTATATGCTATCTTCAAACTATATGCTATCTTCAATTGCAACGTTATACATTCTATACCCTTTCAGATGAACGGCAGTGAATCTGCCAACTCGCGGAATTATTATCTAAAATAAATTTGCCGCTATAAATTATTTATTATTTAACACGCCGGGTGTTTTCTGCAATATCTTGAGAGATTAACGCAAGGATGTGGACTAATTTCCGACAAATATTCTATATAGTAAATTCATATCTAATATTAGGAAATCTATTTAAATTCATAATTGTTTCCTGTGAGCGTAACTTCTACTACTGCGAAGTAGTTGCAAGAGCGGCATAACTGCCTCAACCCTGTGCCTACTATTAACTAAGTACGGACTATTTGTAGACGGCATTATGCAAAACATTCGGACCTGAGAAAGCAGGCAAAACGTACTCTATTTCTGTGATAGCAAACGTACTCTATTCCTGTGATATCCATTGACCCCTAAGTAAACGAAGCGTTTTATGTCGTAATATGCGTCGAGGAAACTTAGTGAGAACGACTGAAGCGGACGTGCAGCGAAAGTGCGCGCCAGCCGCAGTCTTGATACGCTGCATCGCCGGAATTGACTTCGACTTATATAAAGAGTTTGGCAGGTGCGTGGTTTCTACTTCAGTTCCTTCCCAGTGCAAGTGATGCGTGTACACCCGTCTGCTGCCCGCCGACAATTGTTATTCGTGGTCTCTAGTTGGCTTTCATTTGAAGCTGAAACAGGTGCAACCGCACCTTCTCTGATTGCCGTTCACGAGTGTCACTTCTTTATTACAATCATTGTTATGAAGGTAGGGGAGTCTAGACTTGATGAATATTAATGTATTTAAATTACTTGGTTGTCGTTGCTTTCTTCTAATTCTATTGACTCGTATAAGTTCGAAGAACTTCCGTATGGTTCTTTATGCATTTTAAGTATTTTGTGTAATATTCCATCTGCTAAATAATGTATTTAAAAATATTCGCCAACAACTGTAGCACCATAGGTTTTAAATTATTTTCTCACTATAATTTCAGGTATAATTAGTTTATTAATTATTTGGATCATGTTAAATGACGAAGTGTGGTTTAAAGAGATCGCTCTCGGAACATGTTCGCAGCCATCATTCATAGACTTAACTTCCGGCGATCGGACTTATTTTAAATAACATGATTTATTTATGAACTTCATAAATTGATGTACAATTAATAAACTAAAATCGTGCCCCTCTCCTCTTCAATAGCTTGCTGCCTGGCGAACGGTTGTGCCGATACTTTTCCTGTTGGTGTCGCCAGCGCGCCCAGAAACTCTACTTGACTGGTTCCGGTCTTGGATAAGGAATTTTTGGTCCATCCCTCGCTATCCTGCAGTGAGCGGCCACCATCAAAATCAGAACCAACTTAATCATCAAGATGGACAAAGTTACCATCATAGTAATGGTTACCACACTCCGTTTACGTACGAATACCATAACAAGCCACGTCCAGGGACATCGCCCAAACTGAAAGCTACTTCGACTCATCCTAACGCAATTCAAGCAGCTCCTGGTAGGTTAATTTCTATTCAAATTTCCTCTAGCTGCTGTATACTTTTTTTATTGTATAATCCACAACGATCCATGTTGAACATGTGATATATTATAGATTTACATTTTATGTAAAATATTTGTTTCCGATTCAAATTTCGCTTGAGGAATGAAACCTCTGCTCCCAGCGTTTTTCTTCAAGTTTACTTATATTGTTATTTTGTTGCTATTGTTTTTCGTAGAAGATTTTATAATAAATGGGTGTTTGATGAATATTTGAACTATATGGACTGTTTTTTTTTAATTCTGAGATAAATTTGGACGTGAGCTAAATTATGATGTCTGATTTTTCGTTAGGATGAGGTCCACAACTTAGCTTCTCATTCAGGAAATTACACAACCGTTGCTCATGCTCACTTGGTGCTTTCACTTGATTGTCGTGCGCAGCAATCTTCCGTAAAAACGTTGTGGGCTGGAATCGTTGAGCTGATTGTCGTCTTCCTGCTTTTATCGAAACCTAGTTTTGTATCCGTAATCTAAGAGTTCAAGTGAACGATTGGGGTAGTTATGCATTAACTTACAGCTTCGTAATCTGACTTTTTGATTGCATCAATATCCCATTCCTTGTTAGGCAATTATTAGTGTCGTAGAACTGATAAGCATCGTCATTGCCCAATAAACATCAGGCAAGTATTAGCTCTACCTTGTTCTGTTGTTGCTGTTGTAATGGGTGTGTCAGCAGATACCTAAACTGTCAATTAGACGAAGAGATACACATTTGCCTACCAATAACTTGAGAATCGTTTACGTTTTTTTACACGTAAAAGAAAGGTAACGAGGCTTATCGGCAGTTGCAGAGGGTAAACGTTTGTCTTTATGAAAGCATTTGAGTTGGAAATCATTTGTATACCTGGATATTTTATTTGTCTTCAATGCTATTATTACACCCCAGGGCCTGGTAAGGAGTCCCTGTCTGTACACAAAGTTAAGAAAGGTAGATTTTCTATATAATGCTCTGTTTGCGCTAAAAACCATACATGGAAATTTGATTGTTTTACAGTACTGCTCGGATTGTATGTTTCATTACTCTATGGTACGATTGATGCTTTGGTTTAGATAACTTTGGAAGTTAGTATTATTGAGATATTAATTACTGTTAAAAAACAGGTTTGCGATGGCAGGATTGGGCTCAGAATCTCATTTCTACCGAACTGGTTTCACTTGATATTCATCATTAATTTAATTCTGAACATTCAAACACGTCTATAAGCCAACTTGCTAATAATTTTTTCCTGTTATATTAGTTTCAATGAATCTTCATAGTCCACCAATTTCTGAAATAATAGATGTTTTTGTTTTGCATGCAGGTAAACGGAAGAGACGTCCTTGGCCCCTCCTCACAAACGCCGGCAAAAGCAAGGAACAGATCGCGGCCGAGCAAAAGGAACTCGAAGCTTTCCTCGAGCGCCTCAGGGACATACGCAACTCGCGTATCCGCTCATGGTGACGAAATGCGATCACGGCAATTTTCGAAGTCCTAATATCGTTGATCGCGTGTTGGAGGCCCAACTTCACACTTGGTTCATATTCATTGCCATGTGTAAGCACGCTAGCGGGCATAATAGCCCATGATGCCAATTGCTCAAAGCCATAGCGCCGTATGTCCACAGCCACCGCAGAAGCATGGCCATACAGCATCAGGCCAAATCTACTCCGGAATAACCTATTCTGGCCGAAACTACACACTTCGCAAAATTTTTTCACCAAATACAAACCCGAGCGGACCTAGCCTAACTTTATTGGCTGCATTATGTTATAGAAAAGAAACAAGTGAGGTAGTAGAGACAGACATTGGCTGAAAGAAAAAGTTGTGAATCTGGGCAGCGTAAATAAGTTTAAGGTTAGGCCATTCGCAGACCTGCCTGCTAATGAGCGAGCATGCTGAAGATCTACGGCGCTAATATCTACACTCGTGCGTCTCTGAATATTTTCCTAGAAATAAACCGGTGCGAAACGAGAATTTACCGCGGAAAAAATTACGCGACAGAGGGTAAAATATGTTCCGGAATAAATGTATTAACCGGACAAGACTTGTGTCCCGGTAATTATGAAACGATACGAGACGGACCGATAGATTTAAACGAGACCAGAAATTTCTTAAATATTCAAGATCAAATAAAATATTCCTTACTATACGAAAAAAAAACGAAACATTCTGAACGAACGGTTAAGGAATACCTAGTTAGCCCTTAATTGTTAAGTGACAGATGACATTCATGGGCAGAATCGGTGACATTTGGCTGCCGAACTAATTTGGCTATTAAATTAGTAGGCAGACTTTGCGATGTATGGCTGAATGATGTTGCCATTGAGCTTTTAATCATTACCTTCTAGATGTCGAGACTTGTACGAGAATAGCAGACGAATACGTCGTAAGTTTTGATGTCGGTTAACTAAAGTCAATGATTACACCTTAGCATGCATTGAAGGAAGTCGTATGCGTTAACCTGTAGCCTACAGCAAATGAGAGAAATTAGTCCCAACCGAATAAGGCACGTACCACCTTATGCTCTCTGAATTTGTTCGTTTGACCTCTTGATAATTTTAATTTACACCAAAGATTGTTAAATCAAACGTAATAGTTTCCCTTACAGGTGCCCCGCATAAAGTTGTTGGCTGGTAGTAGGCACACAACGGGCAGCTACTCGCTTTTAACTCCTGAAGGAGGCAGTACCCCTGTACACGAGGCCACTATCCTGGTTATTAGTGACGATTATTACAGACAGTCGTTTATATCGATAACGAAGAAACGCAATAATTTGCGTCTATTCCTATTGCGGAGTTCGTCTATTAATTGGATGTGTTTCAAGTTTCACGTCGATTCGTTCAGAACTGAGGGACTTGTGAGCGTAGTTTACAGCTTTGAACTGTGTTGCTGAGTAAAGTTATTGCATGCCTAGGCTAGACGTAGGCTACAGGGCCTATTTAAGAGATGAATTTAAGGCACAAGGCTGCGCCCTCCGTTGATCAAACCATGGGCCCTTCATCCATCGTTCAAGTAATTGAGATATCGTTAGTGCATGTACATTATAATTTTTTGGAGCCTCCAGAGGAATTTCGGAGGATTCTGCATGAGAACATTTTTCGAAATTATCAGCGCGAAAGTGAAAAATTCTGCTTTTAATAAATGACTGCTTTCACCTACAACGAATCCCCAATCAATACCGACCAAGAAAGTAATCATAAGCTGAAAAAATTGTATAGCCGTAATAATGGAGCTTCATTTAATTGGCCTCGTTTCCTCATGCAACGCTATATCGCATAAACAATTGTATTGGAAGAATTATTTAAGGCAGGTTTAGTCTAGAGCTTATGGTCTATGTCGCATAAACTCGTTGGTTTTCTACCTCAAATATGTGAACATTTTTTTTTTGTACGTCGTTTTATTTGCTTTGCTTCCTACTAATTTGACAACTATTTCGCGAATACGAAGAAATTGCAACCATTGCTAGCCCGTTACCTTGCTGCAATGTTTCATGTTGCTCGAACTCTGTTTAGTTGTCGATAATTGTAGACGAACTATAATAATCTGCTTTCCATTGCTATTTCGATTAATCGATCGACGTTCCACTTTTTGCAGTGGAATATATTTTTTAAAGCCTAAATTCCGACTTGATTGGCGATTTAAGCACGGTATTGCTCGCTAAATAAGTCAGAAGACCATATTTCTTCCTTCTTGAATCTCGACTATCATTAATTATCTTGAAAACTCCGGGTTTGGTAACATTAATTTATTGTCTGTACAAAAATTACAAGCAGATGTCGGCGATACCTATAACTGAATAGTGTACAAATTAACCCAAAGCGATTAACGTCAGTTGTGCGAATCTCTATCGCTTCTTATGGCTAATGACGTACATTGTAACATATTATAAAATGGAATCCACTAAAAAATATAAATTTCACACATAAACTGACCACAGGAAAGTTGGATAATGAGCCACTTACATATTGAACTCCATAGTCGTTCATTTCGAGCGATAGTTACGAGATTCAAGCGCTGGTCCCACAAAACGTGAATTTTAACAATAAAATAATGATGCGAATACTAGAAACACAATACCAGATATTGAAGCATGGCACACAATTCTAAAGTAATTTCAGCGTAATTAACATATCCAAATAACTGAGGAAACGCTTTACAGCTCAGGGCACGCCAATGTAAAGAAGCAGGAAACGCTTGGAGAGTAAAGCTAAGTGTGCGGCTAGCGCACACGCGACTCTTATAAGATCGTTGAGCGTCCACTGAAGGGTGCCTTAAATGTAATCATCTCGAGTCTGGCACAAATTTTTCAATAAATTTCGTAATACAGCATCCTCCTTCCCTCCTCTGTTGAGCTAAGCATGGAGTGTCAGCTGCAGTGTGCCAGGGTCCAGTAACTCCCCTATTAACCTCTGAGTTGGAAGTGGTCTGTGCAAGACGACTCGGTTCCTTTTTAGCAATTGTCTCAAACGAGTGTTGAGTGACAGCTTGAGAATCAGAACTGCGAACCATCCAGGAGTAGAATAGAGCATTGGAGATCACTTAAAAGAGTAAAGGGCACAGCACGCGTTCTGTTAGCAGATGAATGCATAAGAGTACGAGAAATGTCAAGCACTTAACAGTAATTTTCAAGAGAACGTAGTTAATATTTCGTAACAAAGATACTTCAACTACAATATTATGACAAGTACAGTAACAAGATCTACAATCTAGTAAAAATATGACGACATATACACGAGAAAATTCGTGAACGGTTCGTCTCAATTTTGACGGACTATTTCTTTGCTCTAGTCAGCATTAATTGATACAACAGTATCCTGGTGACCACTTAGGCTCACTGCAACAAGCTACTTATGCATACGTTGCTGTATGAATTCAAAATTTCTTCTTGACCGAATAATTTTATCAGGTTGAATGTGAAGCAGTTAAGATAAAAGTTGCAGATATTTGTATAAATATTACGAATTACAGTTTCTCACTTTAAGAATAAATTCAATTACTTTCAAGCATCACGACAGAAAAATACAATCGTGCGAGTAAACGTATTTACAAGCAAATCTTAGAGGTTGTACCTATTACCTTAAGTTAGCTAGCAAAAAATACTAGAAACGATCCTGCAGGGTAAACCATTCGGTCACTAAGCCAAGGTTGACTAGTTGCACTTTTAACAAAGGTAATGGTTACTTAAAAGTTCAAAATTAGAAGGCAAATATCAATTTGTTTTCAAGCATAAGCAGTAGGATTTCTTTAGATTTCCTAATCATACATATTTAAGAGCCACGAAGTGACCGAGATAATAAGCTTTAGGTAAAAATGAAGTAAACCTAAAATGAGAAAAAGAGCCAGACATATGCACGAACAAAATCCACCCAAAACATTTCTTCTAATCAAACACATCGCAAACATTGGATTTCTCGAAAAATAACATGAGCCAGATGATTCTGAAATGCGTCGCGCACATGAGTTTAGGTTCATTCAAAATTCGAAAATAGGAATTTCAATTATATACAATTGTCTTATTTTCAAAAACATATAAATAAAGAATAAATTGTCAAGCAAGGAAGATTAGATGAAATTCATGAATTTGTCAAGAAGCGACCACATAGAGCGTATGAAGCACTGCAGAATCACCGGCCATCACTATTCTATCTCAGTTACAGTATCGAAGCAACAAAATCTTCCTTAGGTAGCCTAAAGGGAAGAAATAGCAAGGACTTTAAAGCTACTATAATAATATTTTCACGAGGCTTTATGAAGTTCCGATGATTCCAAACAACGGAAGGCTTGGATTCTATCTTATGGCAAAAGATGAGCCAAAATTGTACTGCTCTGTTCGCAATTTTCATCACAAACTAGTCTGACGTAATAAAAGAGTGGAGCAAATTGAACGTGAGCGGTGAGTACGCGCTTCATTAGTCACCAAACTAAATCAACCCCCCATGTGTGCGTGTACTTAACCAGGAACCTAAAGGTTACACGAAAAGCACCAATTTTGAGCAGAAACATGCGACCAAACACATCATTACACAATAGGAATGGCTAGAGAGAGCTAATTGGAATATTGGAATACTACATACTTCATGAGATAATTGTAGTTACAGTTTTGCGCAATTCATTTGCTTACCAGGCCTAAATTTCAACGCAGAACACGGAAAGTAAATAAGTCGCTAGTGAAGCTGTGACAAGCTTTGACCCTGGACAAAAATGCAAGTCAGACTATTTAGGCTTAGAAATCATTCTTGGTTTTGGCATGTGCTGAATATGTGTACCGAGACGTCGATTATCTTCCTGGTGGGACCGACGAAGATCATGAGAAGTCTCAGTAAATGATTCAAATGAAGAATAAGGATTCTTTTGCTTGATTAAAAGAGCCCCTTCTTCTTTTTGCCTTTATCCTTCCCGTCAACTTGCCTGAAAAAATAAATAGAAAATTAATATCAGGTGTACAGGAAATACAACGAAACGCTTTAAAATTATTCAAGAGTAATTCAGATCAATGGTACAGGAGCCTGATACGAAGGCGAAGAAGCTTAAAACTCTATTAATTGGGAGAAAACTAGTGGAATTCGAGCAGCTGCAGCCTTGGTCAGCGTCTCTTTCCAGCGGCAGAAATAAATCAAATTTTGAAGGAACACGCCTCCAAAATTTATTCAAAAGCACACATCTCGCATAGAAACAGAGCTAATGAGAATAGTCTTTTAGCAGACATGAAATCTCGCAAAAGAAAACAGAAGCATAGCTAAATATAATAGTTATTGATCGTCAATAACTTTCGAAATGAAGCATTATTTTCAATCCTGAAATGAATGTTATAAAGTTTATGATACACTGGGTCTTCCACCAAACAATTCAACGATCACCTTTAAATGCTGGAAGTCCTTTTCACAGGCCTGCTAAATCAATAGATAAGAATGGTCAATAAAAATTGTTAGATCTTCTCTTAACTGTTGAATTGAAAGCAAAAACCCAAGATGATCAAGAAAAATAGTAAAATAATCGTCGCGCAAAGCTTCCAGGACATCAAATCCTAGAGTTCCCAACAATCAAAAATTTTGCGATCAACATTATTCTAGAACATCACTCCCATAGCAAAAAATCAATCAGTTTTTGTAGCCGTGCATGACAATTAAAGAGCATTTGAAGATATACAAAGCGCCGATTACTTGAGGACATTCACTCGGCACCCGACAAGAATGGCATCACATCGAGCAAAATCTAACTCATCCCAAGGATATCAGGGAGCTGAAAATCACAACGAGCAAGGCATCACATAGAGTAAGATATAACCCGCGACAAGAACCCAAGAAGTTTCACGAAGCTGAAGATCACAACAATTAGCCAGTTACCCAGAAATTTTACTGGAGGTTCATGTCACTGTTGGCCGCATTGACGTTTGTCACGGTTATTCAAGCGATGATGAGAACGTCCCGGAGACGCAGCGATAGATACGCTCCCACTTTAATCACAGAGTAAAGAAAAGTGATAACAACGATCCTATTGGAGTGCCAGTGTCAGAGTCATGTGTGAAAAAAAGTTGGAATAAAATATGTCGCATAAAGTATACATACATGTCAATAACAATACGTCGAAATGTGTTAATGGCTAGGTTTCTTAAAATTTTAGGTGCATTATGTAAAAACCGAATTCCAGAAAAAAATTTATTGGTTAGTAATGTTTAATGACACGATAAGGGATAATGAAACGGTTAATTGGTAATGAAACGGTTGAATGTAAAACGGCGATGAAAGAAGATACGAAGATAACAACTAAAACTAAACTAAAAATGTTACCAACTCTTATTCTATGGTACAAATAAATTAAAGTCAGAAGTAATCTCCTTCTGACTCTGATCCAATTGGGTACAATATTTTAATATTTTCTCAAATCTTCTCTTTAAGAAGAGGACGTATATTCGACATCTATCATTTTTTTAAACCAACAACCGTTAATATATTGAACTCTGCCGTTCAATGTACAAAGTTCGCATTAACAATACAAAACTGCATGAAGCTCACTCACTCTTTGCTGATAGACTCGAGGCTCCTGCGTCGGAGTTCTTCGACAGTGACGTTGTTTGCGGTCTCCCAGGCGCGACGCTCTTTCTCAAAACGCTCGCGTTCCTCCTCCAGCTCTGCCATGTCCGTCTCCAGCTTGCGGCGCATGGTCTCGTTGCGCTTCTGGAGCTGCACAACACATATCGTCGTTATTATGCTGCTTGAAACTTAATCTATTTAACTACTACTCCTTATGATGCTGCTAGGAAGTAAACTTTATTAACCACAACTCGTTGCTTCAAAGGCAGCTAATCAGACTGCCGCTATTACAGATAATGCATTTATAGACATTCATCTCTCACGACTAAAAAAATAAAACTTGACAAGTCTTCTGATAGTAAATTTAATATTCCGGTAAAACTTAGGTCAAATAAGGAAGAAATTAGAACTAACTAAATCGTTACTTCTAAACAAACGTACAAACATGCGCAGCTAAAAGCACTCAAAAATTCTTTCAACACTGTTCGACAAATTCAAATAAATTTTGCAGATGCTAATGGTCATCTTCTAATGAGTACTAACTGTACGATCAATTATGTAAACTATTTTTCAGTACTAGCTAAAAATTCAAAGCAAGAGTAACAAAACTAGCTCATTGAAATGATTATTCCTAAAATTATGGTTATTCCTATCGCATGATTATGCCATAAATTGAAAAGATTTTTCCAGCATAGACAAAAAAAGATCAAGAAAAGTGCTCACGTCTGCTTCCAGCTCGGAGAGTTTGGTCATTTTCTCCTTGACTTTCATCTCGAAGACTTGCTCCATTTCACTCTCCATTTTCTGCATGCGGCTGCTGTGCTCCTTCTTTTCTTCCTCCATGAGCGCCAGAGGGTTCCTGGGGGAACAAGGTCTGGTTAATGGCCGCACAAAATTCATGTGTTGCATTAAACTCTTATGTGTTGCACAAAACTTATGTGTTGCACATAAGTCAAATGTGTTGCATCAAAGTCAAATGTGTGGCACAAAAGTCAAATGTGTTGCACAAAAGTTAAATGTTTTGCACAAAACTCTCATGTCTGGCGCAAAATTCAAATGTGTTGCACAAAACTCTTATGTGTCTCACAAAAGTTATGAGTGATAGCACCAAGAAACAGTTGATCAATATAAGCAGAACTAACTCAAGCTATTCGAGTCCACAAAGTTATAAGAATAATGAAGGGAAGCACATCAACAGGATTACTTGAATGCTTATGCTAGGTCATGAAGATAAGAAATGCCAACGGTGAACAAAGGAATCCTTGGATAAATGAGTACAACACGCTATAACCTGGGCTACCATGATTAATACATCACGCAGGGAACGCGCAACAAATTGCGAATTAATCAAAATGACATGTAAAAAGCTGGGGACAACGATTCAGTGAAGGATGATATTCTTTAAACGTCATGCGAAAAGGGAATGATGAAAGCAGGAAAGGAGAGAAGGAAGAATCCCCATTTCGTTCATTGCTCCTACGAATTTCTTGTCCCATTTTTTTGAGTCAATAATGTACGGATAAATCGTCACTTATTTATTCACAAGTTGGTCCGTGTTCATTGATCAAGATTTTAATTATCCTTAAACGAGTACGAGCCAAAATTTATACACAGTTATGAAAAAATCGTCAGCCCAGCAGTAAAATCTTTGAATGACGATAAATTATAACCAATACCTACTTAAACAGAGGAGGGTTATTACTAACGGCAGTACGAATCAAGAAGTTAACGAGAGGGCTATTAATAACGGCAGAACGAATCAAGAAGTTAACGAGAGGGCTAAATCAAGAAGTTAACGAGAGGGCTATTAATAACGGCGGTACGAATCAAGAAATTAACGAGAGGGCTATTAATAACGGCGGTACGAATCAAGAAGTTAACGAGAGGGCTATTAATAACGGCGGTACGAATCAAGAAGTTAACTAGAATGCCATTAGTTACGGTAGTACGAATCATGAAGCCAACGATACGGTCATTAGAAACGATTGTACGAATCAAGAAGTTACTGATGCAGTTAGTAACGACAGTACTAATCAAGAACTTAACGATCGTGTAGTAAAGTTAAAAGCTATTTAAGAGAATAGCTCACTTACCACGCTGAGGCTACAGAGTTCTTACTCCTTGTGAGGCAGGAAGGTCTGGGTTAGAACAAGCACGGTTAAGACAAGCAAAATAAAACTTGCAGCGAGTTTTTTTAAGCAGGCTAACAGGAAGACTCGACCGATTCTGGACGGCGGTCAGACATCAAAAGGAAAAATAAACTTCACATGAAGTCTTTATATTTACAGGCAGAGAAAAATTCCTTGAAACCTCATACAATGGGGAAGGTAGAGAGAATGAGTCAGGAGTAAATAATAAAAATTGGAGAAGAGGCACATGCAAAGTTACGGAAGGGGTTAGTAAGATAGACGAGGTTTGCGACAAAACTGGGAACTAAACAAGTAGAATAATTAATTCGTTTGCTTGATATGAAGAACCGAGAAAAAGGCAGTCAGCTTCAGTAGTAAAATATGCCGGAGTTAATTATATTAGGCAATTTTTTTCTTATAAAAAAATTGAGGACACATATAATGACTGATGATAAGGCTAAAACTTTCTGTCAGATGTGCAATAGATCCGACTAGATTACAGGCTATGCGGTGAAATTGCTGAATATTCATTGCTAAGAGATCACGGAATAATATAATTGATTGGAATAATGGATATTCAATCGACATTGGTAATAACAAGAGCAGCATAACGCTCTGTTGTGGATAAAATAAATAAACAAAACTATCATACGTTTAACTCTTCAGTTATTTTCTTTTTTTTAATTCAACATAGGATAAATATTGAAGTCATTTACTTGAATGAAAGAAACTTTTATTTTTAATGCACTCAACAGTCAACAAGATGCGTGAGATGACGATGAACCATGAATGTATGGATAGTGTATTCAATAAGTGTGAACGAGTAAATATCCAAGTCGGGATCCTTGCGTGCGAGGATTAAATTAATACCAAAGAGTCTCATTAAACTCACTTGTTGCTTGATTTAGATTTATTGTCAGTGGTGCCACCGGCAAGTTTCCGGCATCGGTAGTTCTCGTAGTGCACGCTACTCGTCACCTCCTTCAGGTCCTGCATGTGCGTTCTGATCAGCAAGTTGCGCAGGGGGATGAAGTCGCAGTGAGACAGGTTCTCAACTGCAACCAAAAATATGATTAAGTGAAATCGCAGTGAGACTTCACAGTGAGACGTCAGTCGCAGTGAGACTTCAAAAATACGATTAAATCAATTAACTCTGATTTGACGAAAAATCTAAAAAATTAATAATTGCAAAACCGAAATGAATTCAATCGACTAGCGCTTCTAAAATAAATTGGATTATCGTCACGGAAGGAAAACGACTTGAAGCTTCTGATTCTGGATGAGAATTCATCAATGAGCCACGCTGTACAAATCACAAAACTCAAAATATTTTGAATTTACAAGACAGACTTTTCAAGTCTCAAATAATTTCAAAGTTTGAAAATGAATGGCATTATAAATAATAAAAAATATTCCTTTAGGAAGATTTAGGTCCCAAAACAAGAAGAAACCTAACCCTCCAACGATGCCATAGGGGTATTTACGGCCTCAGTAATGTTTAATTACTTCAAGGTTAAAACAGAGATAGCATTTATAAATAAGGAAACAAATGGAGGCATCACGGTTAATGGCCGGCAATGGAATACTAACCTTCGACGATGCCCCAGGGATATTTTCTGCCTCTAACTTTTTTCCCGTCGACTTCGGTGGTGACGTTGGAGCCGACGACGGCGAAAGGAACTCGCTGCTTGAGTTTGTTATTGTCGCCGTCCTCTTCGGGGAACTCGTATATCTTTATTTTGTGCTGATGAATCTCGTTGATGATCTGAGGGCAGGAAATAATATTCTGAAAGATTGTTTCTAGTATAAATAAGATAATTTGCCAGGGTAATAACTTAATTCTGAAGAGTCTGGTTGCAGATAGCTTGACATAAACAGTTTCGCCCGTATCTTAACCCTCTAGCGCCGTGTGTCACTCTCCTGGAACGTAACTTTCAACTTAAATTATACGTAAACTATTGAGTGTAGCAACCTGAGGACGTTTGTAAGCAACAGAGAACATTTCAAAGTTGCCGTATGTGGCAGCAACCATAAGTGCATGCCATTTTGCTCTCACTAGAACGTATCTTTTTTTGGGAAGTAGACTTGTGACAATATTGCTCCGGTTACTCGTGTCAGGCGGTAGATGGTTAAAATGCCGTCAAAGATTACGATGCTGGATTGACAATTTCACCTGTATCTTTGGAAGGTATCACAACTTCAACAGCTGGATGGAAAGTTGTACCTGTTTTTTGAAGTGTTGGCACTCCTCAGGCGTAAGAGTGTCGGCCTTAGCGATGACGGGGATGATGTTGACCTTGTCGTGGAGACGCCGCATGAACTCGATGTCCAGGGACTTGAGGCCGTGGCCCGACGGTGCGATGAAGTACAGACAACAATGCACCTGTGAACATAATTAGTTTATAAGTATTAGACGGAAGAATTCTTTCTATATAAGCAATTTAGTTGATCGCTTGAATTGCAAGGCTTTGGCACTCAGATGAACTTAATTACAGAAGTAGTACAGTAGCCACGAGTCAGGCTGCAAATCCAAAAATATTTGTGGAACCAGCCACTATCGCTCCAAACTTTCGATAAGAAAGTCAACTACACGTGCTTCTAATGCGTTGTATTTATACTGGCAATAACATACAGACAATAATAGGAGAATGCATGAAGTAGAAGTGCAAGTAAAAATACGGCATTTTTAGGAAGTTGCGCGAGAAAATCTGTATATTAATTAAACTACTTTTACATCAGGTTTAGCCAGTAATAACTGATAATGATAAAAACGGAAATGAGCGTAAATGTTATGAAATAACAGAGCAAGCAGCAGTCTTGTCAACACATATTCCGTCTGTTGTCTAACAACCGTAGGCTTAGACACCTACGATGTCTCATGTCGAACGCGAAAAATGTTCTCAGGGGAATACTTACTTCAATTTAAAAGTACCATAAAATTTGTTATCAATCTACGCAGATACACTTTCAATTTCCCGATGATGAAAGATAAGCGAAACTTTTTATATGAAGAATGAAGGGTACCGAAAACAGAGGTACGTACTGTTTTAATCAAGTAAGCAAAGTATGAAAAAAGCAAAGGAAGAATTGAATATTTTAAGACAAAGGAACAAGCTCATAATCACATTTTCCTATCTTTCACATTTAATTAATTAGCCAAGAAGATGACGCAGCTTCACTTGCAGTGAATGGCTACAGAGCTGCAGTGTAAGAATTCACTGATAATATATTATAAATCAACGAATTCTCTGGTCATCGATCGCACGCGTGTAAACAAGTAAATCCTGCCGTCTAATAATAATTAGTGTAGGAATTGTGTACATAACCGCGTCAACGAACTATTATCTTCACCAGCGCAACTGTCATGTATGCTCACCCGATTATCGCTGATGCTCTTTCTGTTGACTTTGGATTCGGCATTGAGGTATTCTTCGTACTTGGACTCCACGTAGTCTATCACGGGCTGCCAACTGCAGAAAACAAAAAATTATTTAATATAATAATTACATCTGTCATCAAGTACGGGCATCATAATTCAAAGAATACGACTAACTCTCAGTCGAAGATATTCTTTCTTACTTATCGAATCGACTGGTAATTTGATACTTCGTATCAAATTATACAAAATATAGTACGACGTGTATATATTCAGGCCTGAGTATAAGCCTGAGTAAATATATATATGTCGTACTATATTTTGTATAATTTGATACGAAGTATCATATCGTCCGTCGGTGCAAATTACGAGATCTCTTAATTATTTCAATCGCAAACAATAAGAAAGTATATGCAAAAAAAATAAAATCTCAAAAAATCACCACGTATTCATAAAAAAGGTCAAGAGTCCAGCTACATCATCAATTTGAAAATCTGAGAACACGAGTATAATGTAAGTAAGTACCTACGTTATCATCAGCAAAACCGAAATGTACAGAAGCAGCTATCAGAACCTAGACTAACGAGTGGAAGTGACAATTTCAAGTGGACAATAACTAGAGATAAAGTGAATTTTTGTAAGCATTATACAATATTCTTTATACGAGTGCTGCGAGTACATGGGAAAATGTATTAGATGCAAGAGCAATCAAGCGAATGATAAGATAGATGACCAAGATGATAGAACAACAAGATAAAAGAAAATGATTATCGGGACGAAAGCAAACGCCGTTCAAAGGAGAATTTATGACTTTTGCAACCGACGTAACAGCTTAATTGCGTTAAGGAAAACAAAATTTTCCGATAAAGAAACTTTTGTAGTATTGCCGAGACTAGCGCAGTATTGCCGAGACTAACGTAGTATCGTCTAGACTCGCGTGGTATTGCCGAGACCACCGTAGTTTTCTCGAGACAGACAAGAGTTGTTATGAGAAATTAAAATATTTTCTTGTGACAGGAACACAATAACAAACAAGAAGCTCCTGCGGAAATCGTATTATATTGTTGCTATATTAAAATAGTCATAAACCATCACCACGGTTAAAATAGTCAATCACCGATGTCAGCAATATAGTGTTCAGGGGCCATACTTTCAAAACTCGCTAAGTGAACGTAAGTACTTACAATTTATTTTCTTGTCTATGATTGGTGGATTTTGCTTGAAAGGCCGTCAATGATTGGCTGATGAACTTACGATCTCTTAACTTTTTTGAAAGTATAGGCCCTGGGGCATACTTTCAAAACTAGCTAAGTGAACGTACGTACTTACGCTCTATTTTCTTGTCAATGATTGGTGGATTTTGCTTGAAAGGCCGCCAATGATTGGCTGATGAACTTACGATATCTTAACTTTTTTTGAAAATATAGGCCCAGGTACTGAGATAGGCCAATAAGAACAAACCAGTCGCTGTTGTCGACAGCATCCCCGAAGCCCGGCGTGTCGACGACGGTCAGCATGAGGTTTACTGCGTTCTCTTTGAGCAAGACTTTCGTCGTCTCCACCTGCGGGTACACCAAAGTTTTAATAATATACACAATACCAACATTGAAAGGCTAAACAAATTGGAAAACATGCAATGACTATTTGAAAGATACGCAATGTCAACACGCGCGCTCGTGCATTGACAATAATGAGAAAATAAATTTGTCATCAGCAAAATAATTTCGTTTCATCGAAAACAGCCAAGAACGTACAATTCCAATTCAACACCAATACTGAAATAAAAACACTACAGGTTGTACATAAGATGTATAACAAATTGAAAAAGAAAGACGATTAAGAACACAACTGATAATAATGAATGTTGCAAAACGATAACTACGTTATTGGTTGCTTCGTTTTCGCGCAGTCCATAAAATTTGGATGACAGAATCAGACACAAACTAAATGAGATTGAAATGTCATCTTCGAGTCAAGTTCTTATATTTAAGTCCACTAATAAAGTACTGCATTTAAAAACATGAGCTGGTATTCAACAATTTAATTTTTAACACGATTCGCTAATTTGTAGCCCGAGCCTCAAGTTAGGGTATCACGGATACCAGTGTTCTCGGACCATACATGCGAGTGTTTTGGAAATTTGAGGCAAAAATTTAAGCGCCAAAAAAGGGACAAAGAAGTTAGAACTCGCCGCACCTTCAGTCGTAGTAAATTAACCCTTAGCATCAGGTACACTTTCCATCAGGACCGATGTGCGTTCAGTGGTAACATAGCACACCCAACGCGCGTAAAGCATTACATTTTTTCACGTATCTGACATAAAGCTCAGTCACGCGCTCGGTCATCAATCAGGTCGCAAGCACCTGCTACGTGAGCGACGTCTAACAAATTGGTCATAGGCGCCACTAGCCTCGTGGTACCGCTCTTGAAACACCGCTCGAGATCCTAAAAAAGTTTAAGACTAACTTACGTCGGGAGTTTACGATACTAAACATTCGAAGATGCTTTGATTTTGTCGGCAAAATCTGGTACCTTGCACGACAGTAACAGCACGACTGTACATAGACCTAATCAACAGTTAAAAGTACAAGTTTCTGAAAAAATCCCGACGAATGTATGAAGGTAACGAAATTCACTTGCCAGATTTATTTATAAATTTAGGTATATTTTTTCGAGAGTTGACTAACCTGAACAGTCTTCTTGACGCGATGGGAGGGGCCAGGGTATTCATTCGAATAGATATCGGAGAGAAACATACTGTTGATCATTGTGCTTTTGCCCAGGCCACTTTCACCTGGAAAAAAAAGACGAGTTATAAGACGATCATGTAACTGAGCAAACGCAATAAATGATAAAAATAACGAAATAAATACGTTACTGTTGCCAGTGAATGAGAGAAATGATTATTTTTCCTTTCTGGTCTCATATTGGAACAATTTGAGCATCAAGCACGCACACTTCTCAACAATTTGAGCATCAAGCATGCACCCTTTTCCGGATTAAATACACTTATTTCAATCACACAAATGTCTCTCACAATGCAACACTCGGAAAGAAGGCAAACTTCCTCGAAAGAAGCAACTGCAATATGAACGGGAGAAGAGCGGGTGACCACAAGCACAAGGCGGGCTTCTAAAGCAAATAAACATCTTGCGACTCGCAGCCTTGAAACCAAGAACCGTCTAACCTGCGGTCGCCCCTGCCGTTCAAGAGGCTTCAAGCGACCAACGTCCCACGGACACCGTTCGCTCTCCTCAGAGTATATATACACTCCAAAACAACGAATTTACAATGGCCATCTTGTCTCGAATTTAAAATTTTTGCGTGTATCGAATATAAATAATAATAAAAAATAGAGGCAAGACAAAAAAAAAATCGTTATGGTGTAAGTTGAAAATCACCAAAGAAAATACAAAGAAATGAACAATATACGCTCGATCTTCTGTCCTTATACATCAATTGGTTTGGCTAGACCAATTACGGATTCAATTTGGTCCTTTTCACAGTAACAGTCTTCACGAAAATTCTGTTGACATTACTCGTTGTGAAGGTCTAAAGTCTAAACAAAGACATACGTAATCACTTAATATTTCTGAAAATAATAATGCCATTTTTTCCTGCCCTAATCTTGGTCGATTGACCAAATAACCTTGTGTCCAGGAGCACAAGTAATTTGGTTTTTCTTCATGCAACAGAACTAATTAGTAAAAATGGACTGCTTGAGAGCAAATATTGGGGCTCCGGCTTGAGTTCAGTGCGAACCATTATAACGAGACAATCTTGGTTGAAAAATATTTAGGCGCTCATATTTTGCGGTATAGCCTCTACCCTGATGATAGACAACCACTCGATGGCGCTGGGCATTGGCGCTCGAAGACGCTGGGCAGTTGTGACAGTTTGCTAGAGGTCACTAGTTGTATTAATGCGCTAAAGATCACAAAAGCAAATAAGACAAGTATCAAGAAGCTAAAGAAGTAAGCGAACATAAGAACGCAGTATCACGTCACGGCAGCAATACGCAGTGCAGGAAACGCCCAATCATTGGGATGACAGTGAGCGGCAGAGATGAATGTCGCCGTTTCAGCGCCCCACTGACGGGGACACAATGGATAAGGCAAGGACAGGCCATGATATTAGCGAGTTGTAATTAAAATAATTATTTGATGAAATTGATACGATACTTTAGCACACAAAAAGTATATGACATCATATTTAATTATTGCGTCATGCAAATTTATACTGGGCATAGAGGCGTGGATTCTTTACTAATAACATATCACTAGATTTCCTCCGCAAATACGACATAATAACGACTTAGTCTTATGACTCTATTATTGCAGGAATAAATATAAAACTTAATCTCAATCATTAGCATTTCAGGAACAATAACTTAGGATTTAAAAACTTGAGCGAGCAGTGATACGCAAAAATACTTCCCTGACGAACATACTACAATCGTCTAATGAAATGAAATGAAATAAGAAGATAACTTGGAGGTTAATTGCTACAATATTCAAGTTTCGACTGAAATGGTTTCAAGCTGTTAAATAGTAGGTTTCTTTTACCGCGATGGGATTTCAACTAAATTTCATTGAAATTCAAAGGAAAAATGTTCTGACGTATTACTCAGGTTTCACTCACGAGATGATAACGATTAACTAACTCATATGGTTTCTCCAAGTCACATTGGCTATCACAAACAACATATACCCAGTCAACATGCTCGCTAGTAATCCACAACTGGCGGTAAAAGGATGATCTAAATAGTAGAACCATTGCGAATCCTCAAGCGGCGATCCATCGTGGCCTGGGACTGCTACGTCCGAAACAAATACCAAGGATACCAAGGCATATGTAAGAATAATAAAGGATAAAATCCTCTAGAGTGAATAAAGGAGTACGCAATACCCCACTGAGAGGAGCACCGTGGGAAGGCCAGTCGTGAGGCCCTTATGGGACTGAGCTCCATACCTGATAGAATACTGCCGTACATATGTACGCGTGCTTTACACGCGTCATAATTAACTTCAATGCACGGTACTATAAGGAGTCAAACACCACTCATGATAATCATATTAATGATAATAAAGATTATGAGTAAACCAAGTCTATATAGGGCGAAATGCAGGAACTCAGAGTTGAGCATTGCTTTAAAAAAATTTCAAAGACGTTGAGACGATTTTTATAATAAGCTATTATTATAAATATTTATTATTATTTTAAGAATTAGTAGGGTTAATTAACAGACTAACTGGGTTGTCGTGGAGTAAACATCAAATATTCGTCGCACCCGTATATATATCGATATTGTATTGACAAATACAGTCATGCGGTGATAGGCATGGAGCCTTTGTCCACAGCCATTAAGCGATAGGCTGGGTAAATGTTGACAGGAGGGCTGGTGAGATTTAGAAGACGGGTTCCTTTCACGTCCTGTTACAATGGATTTGGGACTTGCAGTGGAATATTTTTATTATTAAATAGTGGAATCTGTTTGTTATTGGGAGAAATATTGCAATTTAAGGAACGCTCGTGCATTTGAAAAGTTTAATTCAGCGAGCGAATGGCCATACGTTCCAGATATTTTAAGATTGATAACTGAAATCGGAGTGAAAATAATGGGAAAAGTTGAAAATCCGTGAGAAAATCACGACATTGAATTCAATTTATCCTTGCATTCTGTTCTATGGAACTCAAATTTCAAATCACATTGTGATTTATCATCACCCTATCAACTTTGGAGAATAATTGTAGCTTCCTTGTGAATCAAACAGGCCCAGGCCCATTGTAGCTCTTCGTATAGCGAAATTCATGGTGGGACGTTAAATTTTATTTTCAGTATAAGATGCAAACAAACAACTTTTCAACATTGGATTAGACAATTGGCGTCCATGGTTATGAATCCTAAACACGCGCGCGGAAAGTACCAAGAATTTGGAGCGCATGGGTTTCGCCACGTTTACTTATATCGACCCTCAACCCAGGACCGGATTATCATAGCTCTTCCTAGTATAGCATGGAAACACAAATTATTCTAGAAATACCTCAGCCGATGCATGATGAGTGTAATGAGAATTTAGACACGCACATCGCTGTCATTAGAGGGGCGCATTCCCCTCGGTCTCTCATTAGGGGACATGGCACACCGCGACCAAGTTACTCACTATTGTTTATTATTGCTCTGCCTTCTGGCCTACGCACGACGACGCAAGCAAACTGATTTGGCAGGCACAGCATGTAATGCGCGCAACACGGAGGAAATAAAACGATCGCAGCTACGGTGGTGAAAAAGAAGTCCCCACACATAGGGAGGAAAGAAAACGATCGCAGCTACGGTGGTGAAAAAGAAGTCCCCACAACGGTGGTGAAAAAGAAGTCTCCACACATAGGGCGGAAAGAAAACGATCGCAGCCACGGTGGTGAAAAAGAAGTCCCCACACATAGGGAGGAAAGAAAACGATCGCAGCTACGGTGGTGAAAAAGAAGTCCCCATACATAGATGACGCTCTTATTTTTCGAATGCGATATCTCTAATAAAACGGCTTAGGCTTGTGACCGTAACTACGTGCTCCGCAAGGTCCTCAGACTAGACACAAAAAACAACAAGGAACTTGGGTTCTTATGATCGTAGAGAACGAATTACAATTTCGAATTGAAATTTGTCTTAAATTATAGTAAGCACTGAAGGACCTGCCTTGCTTCATAAATTGTTATAATAAGAAAAACTAGTTAGAAGAAAGCAGAAAACAACGATATGATGGATGATTACGTTACTATAACCCAATCATCCATACTTTTCGATTACAACAACACAAGAAGACTGCCACGCTTCCATGCATGCAAAGCTCAGCACGACGAGGCACGAATCAAGAGTCATCGTCGCAAGCAACCTAGACGAAGACTTCCCTATACGAGGCACGAATCAAGAGTCATCGTCGCAAGCAACCTACACGAAGACTTTCCCTCACATTTTTCTTGCCAGACGCGAGGGCGCGGCTGCGGCAAGAAATAGACGTCGTTCAGAGGGAACGATCGAGGGGCGGCTGCGGGGTTAGTGGCCCGAAAATCGCTTCCAAAGAATTAATTTTTTTTGCGGTATCCGACGAGAACGAGTTCAGGTCAATGAGAAGAAATATAGGAGTAATGTTGTTAGCTTTTGCCTACAGACCGTAACAGGTATAGAACCGTATGCTAATTCTGGTTTGTAAATACAGACGGAATTGGTCTAAAATTGAAAGAGCATCATTAAAGACCAGCTAATTGCTGGATATGTTGATTTGATAGTAATTATCCACCTTGATATTTCATCGGCTGCTACCACTTTGATACATACTAGGTAGGAGGCAAAGGACATATATGTGATAAGGAGACAAATGAATACCGATACATGGTCATGATAATATTAACCTAGTTTGAGCCAAAAATGAAATAAATAAAATAAAATAACGATAAATTGAACCCAAAGCAGAAGGACGTTGCAGCTTAGGTTCAAAGTTGTTGAAAAGAAAACCATCTCAGAAAAACACTGTTGCGAAAAAATGTGTACGTTTGCAAGCAAGAAGTCTGAGTCACTTGATTTACCAAGCTCGTTGTTGCATAGGATTTGCAAATCGGATTTAAAGCCTCCGACTTTGGTGAAGTTTCTATACCCATCAAATTTCAGTGTAAAGTTTCAATACCAGTTTAATTTTGAAACCAATCAGATAAAGAACTTAATTCTTCCGCACGTGACGTCCCGAATAACAATCTAAAAAATACTAACAATCTTGATACCGAATAACAATCTAAAAAATCTATAACAATCTAAAAGTCTCAAGAACCTGTCATCTAGACACTAGATAGCGTGCAGAGAGAATATAAATAGAAGGTAAGATAATCGAGGCACGAATGAATTTCATAAAGTGTGACAATTTGTTTGCATCTAGTTTAAATAATAGTAATTGTGATTTATAACTTTTAATGTAGGTCTTTTGATTGCCACATTGAAGAAATATAATATATTTTATTAATTACAAGCGAGATAATGTTAATCGTTAATGTATGTTAATTCAGTTTGAGTGGAATAATTTGTGTGAAACTCGAGATGAGTCCAGCAGCACCAAAAAAGGCTGCGGACTTGGCACCAGATCAACTCGGGTGCAACTCAAGTCAATAGCTCCAAGAGCCGGAGTCGCTGATTCTCTGTAGCGCTAAAATACAATGCAGAAGTATCTTACTCTTGCACTATTAATTCTCGCGTTTTAATAAGCGTTCATTCATTTCTTTACAAATTTTCAATGGTACCTAACTTTATTTCATCATGGAACGAGGATACGTAACAATGATTTAAATAAACGAACGGTTTTCTGACGTTTCTATTGATGATGCCATAAATTCTGCGGTGGAGACGAACAGCACCGCAAAGAAAATAAGAAACGAGCGACAAGGGACAGTCGCCTTCAGAAAGGAGAGCCGTGATCGATAACGTCTTCTCCAAGCGTGAGTGAAAACTGCTACACACCTACACACGATACCAATACCTGTGCCGAACACGCACACCAAACATACACATCGTGCTTGCACACGGACACACGGTGCACAAGCTTATACACGCACACACGCACGTACACGCACACACGCACGTACACGCACACACGCACGTACACGCACACACGCTTGTACACGCACGCGTGTCACATACTCATGCAACGACATGCTTTAAGAATATGCGCTCCTCTAACCTAGCCCACCAATGCTCATCATTTGATCGCTACAATATTAATCAAGATAGATGTCAAATATCAGCCCATTGAAAGAAAAATGTAGTACCACATCTCAAACAAAAAATAAAAACGACAAATTACGAACCGAAATGCTAGCTCACACACTTCAAGAACTGGCATTAATAATGGATATAAATAAATAGCATTAATTATGGATAAGCGCATGGGTAAAGCATGAAACTCTTACCGACAACCATGAGGGAGAACTCGAATCCTTTCTTGACGGCCTTCCTGTACACTTGGTTGGGGAGATTGGCGAAGCCTACGTAGCCCTCGACTTCCCGTTGCCGCCTGAACACTTCCTTCGCGTTTGTTTTCTGTTCGTGGTACAGAAACATGCCATTAATAATGTTCTTATGTAATGTATTTTGCACGGTTTTTAAGTCTACTCTCAACTAAATGCGATTGTCGGCTTCCATTTTTACCTGATAAGTTGTCGTTTGTTCTCTGTGAGTTGTGAAGAAAGGAAACCAATAATAATGGTTTCATCATTACAAAAAAAAGGATTTCGCAAGCATTGTGAAACTACTCTTATCATAAGCAATGTTTTGACTTCCTTTTGACGCATGAACTCTTCCTTAGCATCCGTTTTCATTCATTAATAACGATTAGAACTCTTTAACTTCACTTCTTGTTTGTCTGTTTGTCTGTCTGTCTGTCTGTCTGCTACAAATCTTGTAATCGAAATTTAACACACTTCTACTTATCCTATCGATCTGAAATTTTGCATACTTGTTTGAAGTTGGAGACAATGCATGAATCAAATGTCAAAATAAATGATTTTAAAAAGTAAAAAAATTGTTTTTCAATATTAAAAAAAATTGAAAAAATAATGTTGTCATCTACAAATCTTAAATTGATATTAGACACCCTTTACCTGTCTAATTGATTTGAAATTTTGCACACTTGTGTGAAGTCAGAGGCAATACATGAATCAATTAACAGAATAAATAATATGAAAAAAATTTATATACTAAAAAATTATATATATAAAAAAATTTAAAAGTTAATTTTTTAATATTCGGAAATTAAACAAGAAATTCATTGTACATCTGTAAGATTGGAGATACTGGATTCTTTGGAAGTGTTGTCTTTAAAAAGTAATTTTTAAATGTATATTATTTCTAGAATAAAAATGAAGCTTTGCAGGGATCGCAGAGTTACACTAAGAGAAATTAATTTAACCAGGAATAATTTTTCATATTGTTATATAACAAATTGATAAGATCGGATATGTGTTTCTGTGGAAAACTATAATTGTTTTGCATACATACCCGATCATGTACATGCAAAAGAAAAATTGTCTTTTATAGAAGTGAGCTGCCGGAATGAACCTAGCAAGAACTAAATAAGTAATAACTTAACTTATAGGGGAAGAAAATAATAACAATACGAAAATGAGAATGGAAGAATTTTAAGTGACATGATAAAAATATTTTTAAATAATAGGCAAGAATAAAAACAAATATATAAAAACATCATCTAAACGAGTCCGCCAAGCGTTATAAAGTTGAAGTATTGGTGCCACTATCGTCATTAGTCTGAAACCTGAGCAAAATTTTTATAGAATTTCAGGGTCTTTCGGCCTGAAAAGCTAGAATTATTATTATTAAAATTAACAAGTACAAGCAGCGGAAATGAAGTAGTGCATCTAGCGCCAAAAAAGGAAACGAAGAATTCGTCATGCACGCAGATACATCAGGCGACAAGCCCTGAAATATACATGCACGATAAAATACGCATCTGCCTAATGGGTGGAATGAGTTTCCCAGTTAAATTTCGGAGACGCATTCTGCGCCGTTCACGGCAGAAGAACAGTTTAGCAGCAGCATTGCAGCAGGAATCTCAGGAAACTGTCCCTTGTTAAAAATCGAGACAGGGAGCAGCCGCATATTGGCTGGAATTTCACAGCGTCATATATATAGGCAACGGCTTGCCGTCCGTGTCCGTTTTGAGGCAGTGTGAGAGCAGGATATCAATAGGGGTGAATTGGGGGGTTTGGTAAGAAGTGGGAGAGCGAATGAGTTTCTATGTTGACAACTAGTTTATCTAAACGTCTTGTATACTATGTTTATTGAAATCGCAACTATACGTCATAATACATAATGTTGTTCCATGGCGAAGCACACATTATCTTGCTCACGATTTGTATGTCATATTATACGGTGGTGACAAAATGTATTAAAAAACTTTCTTGTCGAAGAATATAAAAGCAATAGATGAGTTTTTAAAAGAATTGTAACGTAAAGAGAGGTATTCCATATGGAATGATTAGCATAAATCCCATATTGCATCTAGGTACAATCAACAATCTTCCTCCTGAAAAACTGTTTGATTTCCTGAAATAAATCAAACAGTTCGTAACAGGCTATAAACTATAAATATTGATAAGAAATATTTATCAAAAATATTTTGACATAAATTCAGTCAAATTGATTTTCTAAATAGTGCTCGGAATAATCAAGTGATCTACATCATTTCTTCTCGTTTGTTGAATGTCGTGGTCTAGTGAACGTGATGGCTTATGCTGTATTCTTTGGTATTAGATTAATAATCGAGTGTGAATTTGACCATAATTTTTTTTTATTTATTTTATCAAATGTGATCTTCTTAATTAACGCCTTAATTTACTGATCTTTTTTTATGACGATTTCTCGATTTGCAATTAATGTGTTTATATAAATACCAAATGCAAATCGGCCATAGCCTTTTCATATCTAGATTCAGACATTAATTTGAAGCTGTTGAAACGTATTACTTTAACAGGTAGGACGGTTGAGGTAACGCTGAACTAACGTTGATGTTAGTTCTTGCATCGAAATATAATGATATATTTTTTGCTACATCGGTTAATATGGGTTTGAGAATTTTTTTGTTAAGGAAGGAGATAACCGATCATTTAATCTCGTTAATATGACTTATGATTGAGGACTACTGCATTAATTATTTTATCCTATTTTTACGCTTTGCTCTGCCCTTTGCATTATTGATGTGTGTATATTCAGTGTCTTAACATGTTGCTGAATTTTTGTCAGAAATAGTTGTACCAGAATATAGAATAATGTTCATAAATGTGTTATTGCTGATTATTGCGAGTATGTATGATGCATAAAGCCAGTAGTATATCATTCTCTAAGCGGCGTTTCTGCCAATCCATCTTTTTGCATAGGTTATGTAAATGTGTAAAAAAGTATAATAAACGTTTAATTGTGCGGACAGAATTCTTTAGTTATCCCCGAAAGAAAATAAAGTAAGCCTGTAGAGAGCAGGTATAGGGCAGCGTATAGGGCGTGTCGGCTGTAAGTGAGCCGGAGCCCGGCAGGACTGATTCGTTGCAGCCGAGCGCCAGCGCCCAAATAAGGCCTTACGCAGAACGTTTTGAACCCCGTAATAAGCGGACATCCTTGCTGGATTCCTGCTTCCCTCATGCTTCTATCGTGCTCTTGGTCCGGCGCCGGCCCAGCTCCTACACTGCTTCTAATTTTGACTGGGTTACACAACAACAATTATTTATACATGTGCGAGATGATTCTGTCAGTAAGGTAATATACTGAAAATTTCAACATTGATTACACTTCTCCACGACAAATAAAACTTAAGCTAATATTAAACGGAAAAATATAAAAAATGACACTACAAATAAGGTCGTTATTCTTGTATGCATGATGAAGGGTAATGCCAAGAAATTACAGTTGTTCGAAGTCAAGATCATGAAAATGAGAAACCCGATACACAAAGAGCGGTTACAATGAGAATGTCCACATGGCGAAGAATGTATGCACAGGTCAAACTAAACACTTGAGAAAAAGTAGTCAAAGATACATTGTAACAAGAAAAAAAAGTAAAATAATAGAAAGCCAAAATAAAATTGAGCAGTCGTGTTTAATTGAGCCAGGCTTAGATATAATCGCACTTTACATAACGTAAATGTCTGATTGCCTGGAGACTGAATTAGTACAGGTGGTGATCCCCCGGACCGGAAGCATGCATGAACTGAGTCGGGAAATTATTCGGAAGACCTAATATGCATCATCACGAAGACCAGCAATCACAATATTTCTATTCAGAAGTACGAGAAGTGCCAGCAATAGAAGAGAACGTAGCGTTCCGACAGGACAACTGTCCGCAACAGTGCGTTTTCAGAAGATCGACAGGTACAGAAAAAATCACGAGTGAATTTGGCTCATTGGAAGATTGTAGGATTTAATTTACAACTAACCCATTTTTGTGAGTAAAATAATCCTTATGTTTGGCTTTTTTGCCATAGGAATATTTTTTACTCCTTAGTGAGAGTCAGCTTGGTTACAACTTAGGGACCAAGCTTCACAAATAGTTGGATTTGTAAAATGCTCAAACCTCATTATAATTATCTACTGTTGAAAATGCAATCACACAATTTGTAAGCTTCAAGATTGAAATTCATCTTATGAACAAAGCAAAGAAATTATTAGGCAGAATGTGTATGAATCAAAGCGTTCAATTAAACGTGCCAGATTAGGGATCGGAACAAACCAAATCCAAAGCAATGAAATGGGGCAAATTCACGTACGATTCGCTGGACGTTACGACAGTAAAGAAGTGCGGGAAAGTACGACAAGCTCTCAAGTGTGTTATTCTCATACGGCATTGGTTCCCAAACTGTCTAATTATATTACCAGCATGCCACATTCTGCACCGTTATACCCTTTCAACAAATAGTGTCGTTATAGCCATAAAGGGCTAAATTAGGGCACATATACGACAAGGAAAAAACATTCATCGCTCCATTACCACCAAAATAAATAGATTACCACCAATAAATAGATTATAGAATAGATAGAGGGTAATTTAAACTCAGTTTGGGAAGCCTGTGCTAGTAAATGTTAGGAGCGGGAATTACTCACGTCTTTGATTGGAGGCTTGGCAGCTTGCTTGCTCTAGTGCCGCCACCATACGAACGAAACAAGTTAGAATCAAAGCTTGAAAAGTTAGCAGTTAATAAAAAATCTAAACCGCAAAATATTACTTAAAATCTTCATGTGTATAACTTGCAAGCGGATACTAAAAAAATGTCAAGACCCTTCAACCCAATAACAGAATAATGGAAGACATAACGTCATATCCTACAATACATGAATGCAGCCACGGAACAAATCAAGTTCCGTGGCTGCATCGGGTAAAGAGGGAAAATCGACACAATGGGGAAAATCATCAAATAAAAATAATTGTATTATCTTCTAAATCAAGTTGAATGCCTGGCATACGCTAGAAATGAGTATTAAGCATTTTGCAATGGAAGAGTGAAAAAATTTAACGTTGAAAACTTTTCAAACTTACATTTAAAATATCAAAATTGAAGGAAGCATCAAAATTTAAGGAAGCAAAAAATAAGAAATAAATACTCAAAGTATTGTTTCATCATAAAAGTATGAAAGAAAACTGATAACACAAATTCAACTCAAGATAACGACAGATAAAGTAAATCAAGGAGCGTGGGATTAATCGAAAAAGATTTACTTACGAGCTTCTGTTATTATAATAAAGCTTTAGAATAGAAGCACACGTTAAGGTGTTTAAACGATTAAGAAAAAAACTCAATTAAGAAAGCGTATAAACAAATTTGTGTCACAGCGTATCAGCAAATTACTGAAACTGAAAGGATATAGAAGGTGTGCACATCCCCAATGGCCTTAGTTATGGAAGTGATGAATTAAAAAAATTAAATTTTACCCAATCACAAACATTGAGTCGACGAGTCAACATGAGGCCCACGAATGTCGTTTTTCGTACAAATGGATAAAACAGGCGCAACGATGTATTACAGAGCAACAGCAGTTATATTCTAATAAAACTTTATCAAAACTTCCCCTGCAAATTTATTCCAGAATAAAACGATCTCTCTGGATTTAACGCCCATATTTGGTTCAAACGCATTAGTTTTAACCTAATTTTGAGTTACACAGTGAACATCCAGGTTTACAAATTGATCACACGGAGCCATCTCCTCTAATATTCTCGTAATTTATCTAATTGAAACCACGATCAGCAGGCAGTCTTAACTGAATCTGCCAACGTTACAGGAAGAAGCCAGTATCACGATGATCGTGAACCCATTATCCATCAGAATTATCAAGTATATGTCACGCGTACATCCAAGCAAAGAGGGAAAATAACTTATATTTGAGGGAAGTCATTTACGTACTGAAATTTGTATGGTTGTCATTGAACTACGTCATTCAGGGCTAGTGATTACAAGCAAAAGAAAGTAGGGAGAGTCCTGTCAAAACTAAATCAAACAAAAAATAGATTATTATTATGGCATAATGTAAGTGATGTTAATAACTTAAAATATCACATCATGTTTAAGCCTATTTCCATACATATGATACAGAAAAGTTAATAATGCTGTCAATTGTTATTATCTTGGAAGTAACTTTTAAATAAAACATAAATGAAAAAAATATATTTAAAAAAGAACAATGAATTCGCCAAGTAAATTAGCCAGCGCAAGTAGACCCGAACACAAAAAGTAAGTGCTGCACACCTTGAATTTACAGCCCACAAAGAACAAACGTACAAAATCCATTCTAAAAACCGACAAAAATAACACGGATATACATAAACAATTAGATCGCTGCATTAAAAAGCAACGCTGTATTGGATACCAGGAATATTGTTGCCTTGCATCAAGACTTTACAAATTTTAATTAAAAGAAGCATTGATGTACATGATCATGAACAGTGCAAAGGGTCGCGATCGTGATAACATTAAAGGAAAAGTAGCGACACCAGAAAGTAAATGAACTGGACACGCAACACGACCTCGGTCGGTTGGACGTGACAGGGCGCGTTATTTAGGCGCAACTCACAAATAGTGAATTGCGTTGCGTGAAGTTTGTGAATGCTTATATAGCGGCCTGTGTATTGTGAAACTTAATGAGAAACTTCATGACACGTTCTCATTTCAAAGTCATACAAAATAAAATTTCTTAGAGCACAGCGATGTTTGAAGTAGAGTCGTATAGTTTCGATTTGGGTGAAGTTAAAGGCTGAGGGTGGAGATTTAGCTCAAGCTTATGAGCCAATAAAAATTGTTTAAAAAATAGAGGATATTTTAATATTTATGTACAACTGTTATTCAGGAATGCAATCTTTGAAATCATTTCGCTTGAAACACGTGCATGTTTTAGTTAATAATAGCAGCAAAGCGGATGTTGAACGCAGCGACATATTAATATCAAAATAGTATTTTTACACGATGTAACAGGAAAAATACGCAACTACTATGTAATAAGCTTTAGAATTTTTATACATAATGTATTAGGTAGAAAATATTGCGTGTACATGATAAAGAATTATCTTTGAACTGTTTACAACAAATTAGTATCTTAAACCAACATGACAAGCCGTAATTAAAATACTATGAATGAATGAAATACTATGTGAATGATTTTGAACTATTTACACAAAGTTAGTATCTTACACCAAAATGACGAGCCATAATGAAAATACTATTCGTGAATGATGCGTTAGATCGCCAAGACGATGATTACTAAATCAAACAAATATAATAACAACAAATGCGCAGTAGAAGAAGACTGACCTCTTTGTTCTCCTCATCCTTGTGGTCTTTCTTGTCTTTGGTAGTGAGCAGTTGTTCTTTGATGGACGCTACGGAGGTCTTGGCATCAGGAGCATTGTTGGTGGTAGCGTTGTTTGTAGCGTTGTTGGTGGCGTTGCTGTTTACGTGATTAGTGACGGGTGTTGGTGTGGGGTTAGCAGTGGTGGTGGTGGGGGGTGGGGGAGGGGCTGAAGTGGGGGCAGACACAGGGGGAGCTGGGGGAGCTGTAGATGGGGGACCTAGAGGATTACCTCCCCCACCACCACCTCCACCCCCAGCAGATGCTGTGCTGTCCGACTTGAAGAACATCTCGCGCTTAGTCTGCAGCTGTACCAAAAAAAATTAAATACATTACAACAGTGCCCATTTTAATAAAATGAATAAAACTGATATACGTTTAAGTATAAATAAGATTATTAATACTAGATTAATGAGTCGGGCTATCAAGTAACAAAAAACAACAACATCCTAATTCAACGTCTCAAATGATGTCGTGGCAAATTGCGACCTCAGAGCACGTCGTCGGTATACACATCCTGCCTTGAAATCAACAATCGGCGATGTTTGGACGAAGTTTGCCTGACGGGCAAATTCACCGATGCAGGAAGCGAATGCAGCAACACAATACGTCGTATTAACGCTTTGCAAGTCCACAACAAGGCCTGAACACGCGGGATTTGAACACGAACTTAAAAAGTTACCGATTCAACCTACACGATTTTTCGACCTTCCGCCGACGTGCGGCTTGCAGCTGCAGTCTCTCAATACCCAAGATGACATCCTCGTCTCTCAATACCCAAGATGACATCCTCGTCTCTCAATACCCAAGATGACATCCTCGTCTCTCAATACCCAAGATGACATCCTCGTCTCTCAATACCCNTACGAGAGTTGCGGTGCCCCGGTGCAACACAAGACACGAGCAGTATACGAGAGTTGCGGTGCCCCGGTGCAACACAAGACACGAGCAGTATACGAGAGTTGCGGTGCCCCGATGCAACACAAGACACGAGCAGTACGAGAGTTGCGGTGCCCCGATGCAACACAAGACACGAGCAGAACGAGAGTTGCAGTGTCTGGTAGGGCGCAGTGTAACACTAGATATAACCTCATGGCTGACCAAGTCGGTAAGCATTATAATGCAAGTTGGCAGTGACAGCAGGCAGTCGTCAAACACTGCAAAAGCAAAGGAAAAAACTCACTTGCTTCACGTTCTCATTGGCACGCGGAGAGCCCTAATGCATGCAGACCGCTTTGTAATGCACTCCACCAATAAATGAATGTAATAAGTGACTGAGTCCGGAAATGATTTTAAAAATTTCAAACCTCATTGTTAACGAACAAAACACACACAATACAATCATTTCCATACGCGAAAAACTGCTGCTAATAAATGAAATCCTGCTTACCTGAAATAATTTATCTAATCAGAACGAGATATGATTAGTAGTAATTAAATTATGGGAACGAGCACGTTATATACCACAACGTCATATATCGAGATACCTTTGTATTTACCGGCGGGATTTATTTTTTCAAAACTTTTACGCAGGAACTAAAATATTTGGAGAACCATATCGTGCTAACTCGCATTATTCAATTAAACCATAAGTAAGAAATCGCTTTCTACTACTTCGAGTGACCTTAAACAAAAATTCATAAGGATTTAGCAAATTCCCGCTTACAAGCTGAGATTTAAAATGTATTTCAAACTTGTAGCAAAGATTAGCACATTTGAGGGGAAATCCCAAAACGTAAAGCCAAACGGACCCACGTTCATGGCAATACAAAGATAACGTCAAAAACTGACACGAGACGCTACCACACTGATACACTGAACACTCAGCGGACCCATATATTAGAAATAACAGTCGCTCTTTGGTCGGACGACAGTCGTTCGACGAGCGGCCTGACTGACGCGACTTTATGTTTGTTCAACGGCAAGCTAGTTTCGTACCGCATCCGTCGTGGTTCACAACTGCAGATAATGCTGCTCGTATATACTCAGCACACGTGGCATCCTCGCAAGCTCACTTCCATGAATGTAAGCTAGAGCGAGTGTTTTTCTTTGTTTTGAACTAAGTCCTGTCGCCATAATCGTTACAGGAATGATGGTGTTTTTTAGGAGTAAGAATAAAGGGTATTTCAAACTTATAGAACAGTTTAGCAAGAAGTCGAAATAGTGGACGCTCGGATTCAATCGCAGAAAAATGCACAACAGGTGCTTGCATGCTGGTCAATGCTTACAAAACCGGAATGACGACCAAGCAGAACCAGGCGCCAGCCATATGGCCGCGACCTGTGACCCATGGTTCTCTCCGAACAATTGCTGGGAGGTGCGGCGGAATGGGGAAGGTAATCTCATAAACCTGCATCAGGATATCAATAAATTATACAAGTCTTTGGTAACGTCGTAATTTTAATTTATGACCGGACAATTAAGCCTTCAGACTAAGAATCTGAATACAATTCGCGTCCAGAGGTCCTGATGGCATATTCTCGAATAAACAGTAGGCATAAAATTCATACTAGGATCTTAGGTTTATTGAACGATCTCGTTTTGTGCAATTAACGTCGATTGAAATTGACTGCACGGTTTATTTCCCACTCAACGATGGTTGTTGACTGATGCTTAGTCGTGCTCGAGTTGATTTGATTGACTCGGAGAGGTTGACTCTTCCAACACTGATCCGGAGAGGTTAACACCTTAGTTCGTTCTGAGATAAAAAAAATTGATTTACGTAGCCACCACCGAGACCGCACTACTTTTTCATCGGGAATGGCGAGTCAGTCTTCAAAAACTGTGAAAAATTGAAATGCTAATCTAATCAACTAGTCATTTCATTTTCCATAAGAACTTGTTGATCTGTTAGCGTTTAAAATTGAAGCCTAATGACTGGTAACTGCTTCACAGCAGCATTTAGATTTTGGACTGACAAAAATTTTAATTTCCACGACACACATGATTTAATCCGCTTCAGGAGAAGTCATGAAATTAAAGTGGTCTTCGCCGTAATACGATACACTTCAAGCGGATGGCAGCTCTCAAGACTTCATTGCGAAACAAGGAAGCTGTTCGCCTTCATTTGAGTTTCATCACAATAATGACAAACATTGGACAACGCGTAAGCCTAAAAGGGAGACTCTAAACGTCGGCGCATTAATAATGTAAATTTTTATCTCAGCAAATAGAAAGTCAGTTGACACCTGAAAACAACACTAATCAACAAACACTAACGCTGCAACAAACACTAACGCTGCAACAAACACTAACGCTGCAACAAACACTAACGCTGCAACAAACACTAACGCTGCAACAAAACACTAATCGGAATAACTCACCGTAACGCCAAACGGCATGTTTCCGCTGGTTATGAGCTTTTTGAAGGCAATCACTGGACACTCAGAATTTTATACTTGGTTAACCTAAAGCATATATAAGACCCACAGACTGGAAATTTGCAGAGTAGCTCAGGGAAGTCAAACCTGATAAGTGTAACGTCCACAGAGACACAATATTTATACTCTTAAAGAAAGCACGCGCAACGACACTGAAGAGTCGAGTCGTTTAGAATTTCAAGCACCCGCTGCTAAGAACTCATGTCAGCGAAACCTGAGAAGATAAACATTTGTTTTCCACGTCTAATTTACAAAGTCAACACAATTCGCGTTCTTACAACAGAGAAAGGAAAGTCCAGTAAATTCTTGGGTCTGAAATGCGCAATATCTTCTTGATATTATCAAAAACAGGACGATAAATCAATATTTTATGCGTTATAAAAGAATTTAACACGTTTTATCAGCATAAAACTTCATCAGCACATTCCTGTCTAAGGTACTGCACCTGCGGCATCGGCAAAAAAAATAGTAAGAATGTACAAAAAAAAGTATGTGCATCGTTCATATTAAATGGTCAGTGCATGATATAGTTCTTTTCATCACTTATCTGTAGCGCAGAACCAGTCCACTGTCATAACTTTCATCCTACATATATATTCTTGCTTTTGATTAGATGACATCTCATTAGTCATTCTTCTTCACTTGACACATAAAACTGCCCTAGAAAAGCTGATAAACAAACGTGACGACGACCGCTCAAGAACTAGATGAATTGCAAGTCAATGGTCAGTAGGATGGATCGTGCACTAGATCTTTCGATGAATCAGCAGTAGCATTCTTATTCTAGAACACGCGACCTCAGACTTAGTGATACAAATCAAAAAGAATTGTTGAAACCTCAAAGCTCAAGAGCCACTGCTTCTCATCAGACTTGTGGAAAATGGGAAGATTATCAAATTTATGGAAACGTGACACGAAAAAGGTCAATATATATAAACTATAAGATTTAAATTTTCGTAGGATAAACATGTTGCTAATGGCATGCTAAATTATGTAACAAGAAGATATTTTAGAAGCACTAGCCATAAGCGCACACGGAGACAGCGGTGATGATCACACTAGACACAGCCTTGCACTGACGCCCGTGAACTCAGCACGAGCGACGACCGCACACACAGGAAAGCCTATACAGATAACCGCCTGCTACTACACAGCACATGCACTTCACCACGCACTAATTAGGGCAGAGTGTGATGAGTGTGAGGACACACGCTGGTGCTTCTATCCAAACAGCTTGTACAGTAAAACCCGCACACTAATTAGGGCAGCGTGTGATGAAGTGAGCGGAACCGCTCTTATGCTTTCAAGCCAACAGCGTGTACAATAAAATAAATATGAGGCCAAAGATTGCCGTGGCTAAGCTGTACTTAAATATAGCCGCTACACTCATTCGCCAAACCCTAAATGGTGCCTCACGAGTTATAAAACTGGACGGAAAATGGTTCACAATACAGGCAACTTATGACTATGCCACTCAAAGCCCAGTCTAATCTATTGCAAAACTAAGAAACAAAATAAAGACAAACACCCGATACAACCGATAACGACAAAGCATTTAATATATTAGAAATTGTTGTTTTACAATATTAAAATTTTCGATGCAGTTCATCTAAGATGTGCATAATGGCCATACGTGTACCTACTACGTGGACACGTGATATGCGACGCACAGAATGCAATAATGCAGACAGTGCAGCGGTATGCAGCTGCACTGACCACACATGCAGCTGCTTCGACACAAGATATGCGACGCACATAATGCAATAATGCATCAGGGCAGCAGCATACCGCTGCTAAGTGCCCACTTCAAACGCGTTCATAACGAGACCTCTGTTCAGTGTCCGAGCTCTAGCAGGTCGCTACGATGACCATCTAAAAGCGGACTGCCAATCAGCGGCCATATACAAGACAAAATAACGAGATACCTC